AAAGAAGCAATGACGAAATTACCAAACCATTAAGTCTTGAAAAGCGTCGCGTTCTTCTGATAGAAACAATATATCTTCTGACAGAAACAATATATCTAGTATGATCATTAATTAACCAGGCATGAGCAGTTTCCTTATGGAAAATCTGAAGAATGCACTTTTATTAACAGACTTGAAAAATGGCAATGGAAGGAATCCTCGTTTTACAAGATGGAAATATCTTTTTCTTTCATCAAAACAAATCGTCATGAAACTATCTAACGCTCATATCATATTCATCAAACGATCATTATACATATAATTATAATAACTATCATACATATAATATAAAGTGTCTGATTATATGTTTCAAAATTTTGATTTAAACTTAAAGTTAATGTTAATGAATCAAATAAAAATTACAAATACATTATTATGTATATTAAAATGATCAAATATATAAGTAATAATCTTGATGTTATTCTAATCATAAAATATCTGCTTGATTACTGATAGACTTTAGGAATTTACTACTCTGAAAGAAAAGTTGGCTGAATATTGCATAGCATTTTTAATTAACTGCAGCTGCAAATTTTTGGTTGCATTAGGTTATTCAAATTCTATACTAACATATTGTGGATAGGCTACCGTAACCAAAAGTTGGCTGTTGCAACTAATTAAAAACACTATGCTATATTTTACCATCTAATTTACTGCAACAGCCAATTTTTTTTTCAGTGCAGGCATTTAAAACTTAATGATTCACTCAATAGAGCATTTCACGCTTCAGACCGCAGAGATTTGCTTTTTAAATTTCCGACTCATTTTTATCGATGTTCCCCTGCAAAGAAGAGAGTGAAAGTATACCGGTAACCCTTCCGGGAAAATCGGCAGACAATGGAAGTGAGGTCAGAATGTCCAGTTACGTGGGACGCAACGCCCAAGATCAAGTACCTGCAACCTGTATTCTGCCAGCGGAAAACTGGGCGTAGTTATCAGTCAAATCTACGACTATGCATACACGGCGAACGTACCGAGATCCTTTCACTCGCCTCTTCCTTTCTTAGTCATCCTCGCAAATCGCTCGTCACCCTTACAATGCCGTTGCAAGTTCTATGAACCAGATGAGGAAGAAAGTCGTTCGATCAAAGTCGCTCTTTCTGCACTCTTTGGATCGCAGCTCTCGAACTCTTGTCCATTTGTAAGGACAAGAGATAGCTCTTTCAAAGTTCCGAAAAATGGACCGTGCGGTCAAGTTCTTGGTGCAAATATGACCCCACAATATTAATGATGCTCGGAAAAGCAAAGGGAGAATCATATAACCGAACAGAAATATGATGGATACGTTAAAATGGAATTATTTATAACATTATTATTGGATTGTATAATATATATTCAAAATTAGAAATTAATACTGTCGGATTATATATGTTCAAAATTAAAAGTTAAAAAATATTTAGAAAGGATATATATAATTTACATGTAATTATAAAATCTCTCATTGTATTTACAGTAAGATATAAGACTTTTTTTATAAAAAATTTTCTTGTACGAATACTTTTTACTCTTATTGTATATATTAAATTTTCTGTTTGAGGAATTAGGTATCTATTAAATGTTAAAAGATATGCATTAATATTTAGTGAATCAACATTTTTTTTATTTGAAAAGGTACACTGAGAAAAATAGTCTGGTCGGATTAAACAGTAACTCTGGTGGAAAATGGACGAATCAGAATTTTCTGGTTACGTCTATTCGAATTCTAGTTGAGATAACTAGAATTCTGATTAATATAATTATTCTGGTAAAAATAAGAATTCTAGTAGATTTTACTAGAAATATAGTATCAACCAGAATTCCGGTTATCTCAACTAGAATTCTAATAAATTTAACCAGAAATTTCTGATTCGTCCATTTTCAACCAGAAATTTTTTTCAGTGCAGGAAATTAATAGTTATATAAAATCTAAATTAATGTTATACTCTACGCACATTTAGATATTTATAATCACCAACATCATGAATCATGTACATTACTAACAAGACATTGCTGATAGTTGAATGTATGAACGCGATAAATTTAGTACATAGTAAACTCGTTTCATGCGAGACTTTGCATGGCTGGCGATGCAGAAATACCGGTGTCCAACACGCAATGGTTTTATTCTTTAAATATAAATTGCATTAAATGAAGTGATATCTCAACGGACACATAATTTTACGTAAAATTAAAATTTATATTTAAATGACATGGAAAGTGCTACAGATTTCGCTTATTTACTTCGAGTGAGCATTCATACGTTAAAAGTAATGCTGCGAATTGGAAGGCCATGTGACTTTTAGGCATCAATGAACACAGCAGCCCGATTTTCGCTAAACGTGGTCAATCATCCGTTCTGTAACGCCGCGCTAGTGCCACGGTAAACGCAATTTTCAAATACTGTCGTTAAAACAAGATCGAGAGATCCACCTTTCACACCGAACTGAATAATGCTCTTTTTGATCGAGTCTTTTTCTGTCGTTTTTTTCCGTGATCTTCTCCTTCACCCAGTTTTATTTGCTTTCTTTTCTTATGTGCGCACGTTAGCTACTCTCACTGGAATCTAAGTGTAATCCGATTTTTTATCACACATTAATGTACGATTAGGTGATACCCCTGACCGTACAGTTATTAATGTCTCTAATCAAATGACAAAGCGTTACATTTTGTATACTTAAAAGCCGTATAATTCACTTTGCACTTTCCTCGACTTTATAATGATAATAATTTTACGTTGAAATATACTATTATATTTCTCCCTTTAAGGCGAGATTACTCCAATAAACTTAACCTTGTCTGCAATTATAATTATCTCTTAGATTTTTTAGATATATAAATAATACAATAAATTACCATAATAAATATATGCAGTGACAAATCGTTTTTACTGAAGAAAGTATCTGAAGTATTAAATTTTGATATGCGTTGGATATCTCGGTTGACCAAACGCATATTATAATGTTATTCACTCTAATCAGAATGTTGACAGTGCTATCTCGTGAATCAAAGTTTGACAGTAATAAACTGCAATAACATACATTACAAAATATATACTAGTTTCGTAGTCACTTCTGTGCCGATGGGAATAATTTCTCCTTCGCTTATATTGCGAAATATGAAGCTTTAAATACATATTGAATGTGCACTGATATTTGATTAGATATTTCCATTTCACTGCCATAGCGATAAACAAGTTGCAAAATAAGAACACGTTTTAACGGAAAGGATATCACTTTCATATGTTTAAGAGTATGTGTAAGATGACGATTATAAGGGTGTTCAATGCTAATGTTATCATCATTTACTCTCCGTATCTGTAATTCAACACATTCTATTTTTTTGGGTCAGGAAATCGGTAAGAATTCGCGATTGAATGAGCAATTCATAGAAAAATCTAATCACCTTTCGATCACCATGCAAGCAACTGTGTTGATAATGATTGATCAAATTACTTCATGCATGTTAATCGTAACAGTTTTATAAAAACTTACAATTTGTTATGATACAATCCTGATTAGTTTACATTTTATTATAGTTTGTTTATTACTTCGGATAGAGATTTGATAATTTTAAATTTATGACTTTCTAAGCAGGTTTTAATATATATATAATTCTTTCATAATATAGACAGAAAAAACGATTTTGCTGAAGTATTTAAAAATTCGGCTAAATGTAAATCTGGAAACTTGTTTAATTAATTAATTTTATTTCTTTTGTTTATTTAATTATGTTGGATCATCAAAATAATTATGTACACTCAGAGAAAAACATAATGGCAACTGTATAAGTTTCATACAATTAATTTAGATTAATGTACATAGTTCAATTAATGTATATTGTTCAATAAACTAATATATATAATTAAAAAAATTATTTTATAATTGCTATAACTGTAAAAAAAATTTATTTTTAACTATGTACATTAATATAAAATTTATATAATTGTCATCTTTATAATCTTTTTTTATTACTATGTTTTCACTTCTAAATGTAGGATGCTCAAATATGAATATAAATGCAATACAAGTTTTGTTTCTATATAATTAAATTTAAGCGTCTAATATAATTGTTTAGATGGTCCAACATAATTACTTTCTTGACTAATTTTTGTATATACTTCAGTACCATTTTTCCATATAAATTGATATTAATAATAAATATTAATAGCATAGTATAATTTTTTAATACTATTATCGTATTAATCGTTTCTTTGCAAACGATGAACCTGATTTGCATACTAATATTTCTACCTCTTCGTGGTGTCATCTATGTAATATTTATTATTTTTCTGCATTAAGAGCAAATATCGTATGCCATCCATAAATGAGGCACCCCGATTGAGGATCGCTGGTATAATGTCTTGCAATGTCACGATCGCATCGAAAACACGTTCTACCTCGGTTGACTAGACTTGCAGTCAGTTTCGATCTAGTAATCTCAAACTAGTAGGCTTGAACTAGACTTGTTTTTAACTTGCTAATCGGATGTAGGTGCGTATATGCACGTGTCCAGTTTCCACGACAGACTATCAGCTATCCATCGAGTAGGGAGAATGAGAAAGCGTCATGTATAAAAACGAATGGTCCATCGGAACAAATCCGCAGTATCCCATTCGTTGTGCGCTCGCCACGTATTCTGAAAAATGCTCCATCTACCCTCAGTAAGTAGAAAAAGACAGATGGGGATTTTTGAGGACTGTGACGGGAGTCGCGTGGAAATTGCGGAAGCGGAGATTCACGGCGTTCGGTTCCTTGCTCGACTCAGTTCGCGAACGAGTTCCGGTTTTACGGCGAACAATAGCGATGGAAAGTGATTGTCGATATATTTCCATACTTTCTGTGTGCGATACATAGTACGGTAGCGTTCTCATAGATTCCGGATATTCTTATGTGGCGTAAGAGTGATGGTATCGAATTCGACGCGTCGCCAGCAGCACTTTCCTCAGAGGGAAGAAAAGGCACTTTGATAAACTTTTTTTTAAGTGTCCGCTCGCGAATAAGATGTTTCTTGTATAAGAAACTACTGCTATTCTGCTCACATATTCATATCGACCTAAATAATTGAATTTCGACGTAATGGTAGGGAAGAGAGAGGTGATACATTTAAATTTCGATTGATCAAAATTTAATATTTCAATTACATATAATTTTCTTATTTTTTTATATTTAAATTATTTGTTAATGAACCTATTAGTAAAATTAGTCATAAAAAGATTTTGCATACAAATTTATGTTCTTGACTCTTACTGTAGATATTTTATTATGATCTTATAAAAAAACAAGCAATTGTTTTATATTTTTTACAGATAAATAATATTGTTAATAAATACATATTTTTGCAATACATTACCTTTATATGTATATTCTTTATATATTTTCTATAAAAAAAATAATAATTTGCAAAAAAATGTTATATTAAAAATTGAAATCACGATTAAACGAAGAATTATTCATTTTATTATTCCAGATAATTACTCTATGTTTATTAATTAAAACAACGTTTGCTAACTTATCAGTGGACGATGCTGGATGGCATGGGTAAGTAGGAATGAAACGAGATTTAATAATCGTATTTATTACTTCTAATGTAGTACATATGTTAATATCAAATCATTGTGTTGCAATTCCTAATTTCTGTTCTAATTTTGACAGACTATCTGATTTCGACATCACGAATTATGTCTCCAACGACCATAACGTAAACATTCATCAGAATATTCCTTCTCATGGATCATATTCTTCCTTCGAAAATGGTGGCGGTTTTCATTTAGATATGGATCAAGGATTTAAAGACAGCAACATTCAACATACAATCGTTCAAGCTGTGCCGATCAACGAGCACGTGGAAATTACAAAACCAGTGCCAGTACCAGTTATAAAAAATATCGGTAAGGTTTTGCAAAGTATAATCAGAAATTAAAAAATAAAGTAACAGCGGATTATACGAAATTGTAGAAAACAATAATTTAAAATTTACCTTAAAGTAATAATTATTTATATAATATTATTATATAATATAGTAATAATTATTTATATAATATTATAGTAACAAGGAATACAAAAAAACATTATTATACAGTTTATAATATTATTTGATAATATCAATATGATAAATAAAACATTTGTTCACATCATGTTGAATATAATCGTAACTTTTAATTTAAAATGAAAGAAATGTTATTGATATATTAATGATAGCAAGAAATTTATATAAAGAATAACTTTCATTTAAAAAAATAGAAAAACGTATTTGCCAAATACATTAATTCTGACTTTTACATAATTAGTGAAAGTAGTATCCATACGAAAGTAATACGAAGAAGTTTTTCTTATCCGATTGATCGAAATAATATTCATGGAAAAATTCTTGTTTGATCCACATGCGCGGATTTGCGAAAACTTCAATTTCCACTTTTGAATACTAAAGCACGTTATGAAACTACGATCATATTAAGTTTCATTCTTTACATGGTACTTTCTATTTTCTTAATTAAACAACTTTGCGAAAATCTTTTTCCAAAATTAATTCTTAAACGAATTTTCTTTTTCGTACTGTTTTTGATAATAAACATATTAGATAGTACAATATTATAATTTTTTTATTATTATGAGATATTAATTTAGATGATATATATTATATTACAAACATAAATTATATTTGACCAATATTATTCTGTAATGGCAAATATATTGAAATGTTAATTTCACTTTTAATTAACTAATTTTATTATTACTAATTTCGATTATTACTAATTTTGTAGAAAATAGCATTATCTGTTTATTTTTTTCTATTATTCATATTGTTACCGACTAAGATTGTTATATAAACATTTTATATTTTCTTAATAGCTATATAGACCTTAATTTCCAGTAAAGTTATTCAAAATTCTCAGCATAATATAAAGCTAACAAATTAAAAATTATCGATTTAAAATAATTTTGATGCTTTGATTACACTTAAGAGAAAAGAAAACACAAAGTACTTAAATTATCACATTTCTTGATATTACAGGAATTCCAGTGCCACAGCACGTATCGATACCTATTCCTCATCCTATGGCAGTAGGTGTTGCTCAACCCTATCCTGTTCACGTGCCGGTCATCAAGCATATTCCTGTGCCGATTGTAAAAACCATCGCAATTCCAGTTGAGAAGAAGGTTCCATATCCGGTGGAGAAAATCATACCGGTGCCCGTGGAAAAGCCGGTGCCAATAACTATCGAGAAACATGTACCCGTTCCTGTGGAAAAGCTATATCCGATTCATATACCGATTTATAAGCACATCTTCCACCGAAGAAAAACAAAGAAACGCGGTCGCAAATGGTATTATTGAAGAAAGTTGAGCTATAATTAGTTATAATTAAACGAAATTTCAACGGATGACACGAATGACTGTTGATTCGTGGAATATTTTCTCGCAGACGAATGACATTAGATAGCGAAAGTAAACTCATTTTTCTTGAGTTACAAGTCTTGTTGACAAGATTGTTGTACTTGTTAATGATGAGAAAGCAATATTCGCTTCTCTCTCTCTCTCCTTGCCTGTTTTTTAGTAGCACCGTAGCACAATTGTATTTACACTTGTTAACAAGCGTTGTTCATTATTGCCAAATAATAATTATACTTAATAAATACATTTTTTTTATTATATGTGTAAGATTCTGTTAAGAAATGTAACAAAATGTTGGTAATAAAAATTTATAAAATTATTAATTTATCAAACATATATTTTAAATTTATTATTCTAGATAATCAAACAATAATATATACGTAATGATTCTGCAATTCAATTATTTGCACTTTGATATTTTTTTTCTTTTATAATAGAGAAGAAGGTGGTATTATAGCACTTCAGTTACATTTTACACATAACTTTGTTAATAATTAATATTTAAGTTTAAAACTTGACAATTACATTCGTTAAATAGTTGTTGAATCGATTCTGGATTTAAAGTTACGAAATATTTATTATTTAGGACACTATTAATGAAAATGTGGCGACATTGCATAATCATGAAGAAAAATATGGGTGGTAATGTGGCCTTTCATAAAAAATTAGTTTTGTTTAAAAAACAATACTTGGTTACAAAATTGACAAAAAAGTAAAACATTTTAAAATGTATGCAAATAAACATATATACATTCACACAACTTCTGCATATAAACTGCTCAGTACTAAAAATCTCAGTGTAAAAACAGTATACGTAATACAAAGTATAGATTAACAGTAGAGCTACAATCGATTATGAAAATAGTCATTTTGAGATGTAAATCTCAAAAAAGAGGACGTGAGTAATCAATATCCTTAGAGGGCCACATTAGCAAAATGCCATGCTATTGTTTATATTTGCATAACTCAAAACGTATACAGTCAAATAATAAATATTAAATAGCAAACAACACACTCAAAAATATATATATTTGTGCGATAATACGCTAAAGTTTAAGAAAAATGAGGAAGTAGGTGTAATTAAATGCTAAAATGTACCTCAGAAATGTTTCGAAATACTTGAAAGTAACAAATTATAATAAGTGCTGGTTATTGATTATTGGTATATTAGCGTTATGGTGTAACGGCGAGCTACTGAACAGATAATTCCATAAGTAATCACTAGAATTCGCTACTTAATAGCGAAAATATTAAGAGGGGCTATTATATTTACACTGGCCATAATACCACCTTCTATAAGTATTTTTTGAGAGAATAATTTATATAGAGAATAATTTAAATTAAATCTCAAATTGGCGCAGATTATTATAAAATTTATAATTTCTGTCCAAAATAATAAACTTCAAACATTTTCTATATTGATAAATTTAGATTAATTTAAAAAAAAACAATTAATTGTTCAATTAATTAATTGTTCATCTTCGTCTATGTTCTTATTAACTAATTACAATTATTATTGTCAGATTATACAATAATTTAATAATTAATTTAATAACACAATTTATTTTGAGTAATAAAACATATTTAAAAATGTAAAAATAATTTTTTTGTACACAAAATTTAAATCATAAGTATTTAAGTCTCACATTGAAAATTTTCTTTTTATACAAATCTTTTAATAAATCATAAAACAATTAATTATGAAAGCTACTGTATTACGCAAATTATTAATAATATACTAAATGAATATTTTTTATATCTTTGATTATTAAAGAACCTTATAATTAACATATATTTTTGTTAAAAAATTAAAAAAGAAGGATACAGATAATTAAGAACAATAAATACAATTATTTTTTAATGTATGTAGATATCAAATGTGTGATCGTTATGCACATGTTTTTATGCACTCTTTATATTCAACTATAACTTATATATATACTCGTATATGTAAACATAAAAACTATAAAAGGGATGATAAGTTTACAAGATCCTATATAATGTATATGATATGCTACATATATAAACATATATAACAGCTTTGTACATAGTGTACTTTAAGTCACAGTGGACCTTCACTTCCTTTCATTTCCGTATAATTCCCACGAACATGTTATCATTCGAGATCGTAATAAATTATAAAAGTTAATGATTAAAACTTTAGTGATTGTAATTGCAGGTCATTTCTCTGAAATCTTTATAATATATGTACTTATATATATCCTTATTGTACCTTTGAACTATTTACTATTCGTTTGATTTAATATTTTATAAACTACAATTCATTTTGGATTCATTGAAAGTGGTCACAGTTCAGTAAACTAGTAATTTTATTCCTCTTCCGACCTCAAGGAAGCTGTAGGAAAGTAGGAAAGTATACATTTTATGCTATTATTAATTTTGCTTCTGTGTATGATTGCCTTTTATATCCAATTCTTTCTAATGATTTACAAGAGATATGCATTCACCTGGTAGTTAATTGTTTTTGATTGCTTCTGGCTATAATATCTATATGTAAATTAAAGCATGCATAGATGATTTAATCATCATTTCGTATTGAAAATCATGCATGATTATTTTTTATAATAAGCATTTTGGCAAACTAATATAAAAATTCTCACTTGTTCTATTTCATCATTTACAAAAATTAAGTTTTGTTTCTTTTTTTAAAAAAAGATTCTACCGAGATCGAATCTCGCCAGACTTTTGAAAGTTTAAAGGAAAATTCCATAAATCAGGGACGGTACACTCACTTAGGAGCTACGTTATATCTTGCTAATTATTATAATATTAAAAAATTAGTTTACAGAGTAGCTGGGTACATCATCCACACATTCGTTATGCTCTCTTCACATATAGTTAAAGTTTATACGCGTGCACTAAAATTACTTTTCGAGTTTTGCAATTATATTGCTATTTGTCACATAAGATGGTTATCAATTTTGTTAGAAATAATGAGACTACAAAGGTGAAAGGATGAATAAAATAGGCGTAAATTACATTAATTTGTTATCGTTATATTAAATATAAATAACTTATACTTTAATATCTTTTAATTATAAAAATATTTTATATATAGAAATATAATAAATGAATACATAAATGAAAAATTTTACGTAGCTTTTTAACAAAACATTTTTAAATTTTTGTCTTATTATTTATTTTATTAAATGTAAAATACAATTTAATTATAATACTAACACGTAATCATAGCTGTTTGTCAAATAGTAATCAATAGGAAGTGTAGTAATCATATATAACGGGAAAATTAAGTATGTACTTAGACAATTAGAATAGATGTCTGTTCCGGCAATAGCGGAAGACATTATTTTCATACTTAACAACGTGATAAGAAGCGATATTAAAAACGATCGGTTTAAAACGTGAAATTAAGATGATTATGAAATGAACCGTGACAGACGATCTTGTGACGAATGACGTGTAAATTTAACGAACTTTTCCATATCAGACGTTGATTTAACGATGGTGTGGTAGACAGTAAACCCAGGTGAACGTGGAAATCCGTATTCATAGACGCTCACCTGTACAACAGAATAGGAAATGTCCGATTCGTTGTCAATGTGAAGGCCGCGAGGACACGGTCAATTATTTTCACGTGCACGCCGAGTAGACTACAGCGAAACACCGGGTGGGTATAATTCGCCGCAGTGCGAAGCGAGACGAAATCACATCATCTACAGTGAAAGGCCTCACGGTATATTAAGACGGGAAATGGACGAAGATGTATCAGTCGTTCTAGAGACTTGCGCTACTTGCAACTTGAAGCGCACTAATAGAAACACGTGGGAGCATGAGCGGAATCGTAAGTACTGTGTAAATTGCTGATTTCCAGATAACGTAATTTAAAATGCTGAATCGAAATTAGAGCATAAATCTGTTGGACATTCTCTGACAAGATCGTGTCAATTTTATCGTACGTTTAATTAATTTGTCTTTTGACTTAATTTTGTCACACTACATATAATATTATATCAGTATATTTAATTTATATTGTGTAGAATAAATTAATTGGAAAAAGGATAAAAGTTTTTTATATTTATATATATTATTACATGTTGACGGATTTTTGCGAATTATCATCACAATCCATTTTTTTAATGTCCCTTTTACAGGTGCTGCTTTCTTTGGTGTCCTTGGCCGCGGCTACGCCGATAACCATATTCGGCCAAGATGGAAGGCACTACATGTTGCAGTTATTTAGCGGCAACTATGGGATCGATCGATCTGATCAGGAAATCTCCGGTACTTCCGGCGGCGGAAGTGACTACGGAGGTGGCTATGGAGGTGGCTATGGAGGTGGTTATGGGGGTGGTGATATCGGGGGTGGCCATGGGGGTAGTGGTTTCGAAGCTAGTTCTGCTGGCGGGCATCTAGAATCCGGTGGTAGTCTCGAGAGTGGTCATCAGGATTTCTCTTCTGGCGGTGGATTCGACGGTGGTCACACTGGTGGAGATGGTGGTCATGGAATCTCACTGGACAGCGGACATAATTATGTTCACAGTGTTCCCGTTTCTGAGCATGTTGAAGTGACAAAGCCCGTTGCTATACCAGTTTACAAACACATTGGTAACGTACTGTTACATCTTCTCCGAACTGCGAGTTGTACTTGAAAGTTATAGAATCAGAAATTACAATTTTATAAAAAAGTCGTTCCTTTGCTAATAATTATGGAGAATCAGTTTGGAGACCATAATTATTATTGTTACTATTGGTTATTTATGTCAGCAGTCAAAAGTTAATAATTTGTTACTATTTTTGAGACTATATGTATGTGACAAAAAACAATAGTAATTTTTAATTAGTCATCGTCTTTTATGTATCCACAAAAACTCGCGATATTTATTTTTTTCATTAGCATAAATTTCAATATGTTAAAAAATTTCAAGTACTCTTTACGCTCGCTTTATTCTTTATAGTCTAAAGATCCATTCTTATCTCTGTTGAATCATTTTTTTTCAGGTGTACCGGTCCCGAAATCAGTGCCGATACACGTGCCGCATCCAGTAGCAGTTGGCATTCCGCAACCTTATCCCGTTCACGTCCCCGTACCGAAGCATATTCCCATACAAGTCGTGAAGACGGTGGCGGTCCCGGTAGAGAAGAAAGTGCCTTACCCCGTGGAGAAGCACATACCGATACCCATCGAGAAGCCAGTTCCCATCACAATCGAGAAACACATCCCCGTTCCAGTCGTGAAGCCGTATCCTATCAAGATTCCCATTTACAAGACTATTTACCATCACAAGAAGCATTAAAGTGTGCCTACGGCATAAAGGATTTCTATGGATAGGGAAGAACGTGGTACACATAGCCTAGGGCTATGTTCTAAAATTTGCCAGTGCTGAAAATCTATTTCGCACGTAACGTAAACTATAGATTTTTATAGCGCTGATAATGAATTTTAGAACACAGCCTAAAATTATAGTCTACCTGATGCTATAAAAGTTTCGAAGCATTTTTCGATCGGTTAGTAAAATTTTTTTTGATTGGTTAATCAAATACTTCGAAGCATTTGTAGTGTTAAGTAAATCTCATCCTAGAAATAACTCTTAGCGATCCACATCTTTTAATCGAGTGAATTTTAGAGGCTACGGTCCACTTGATGCTGTAAATGTTTTGAAGCATTTTTTGATTCTGGGATAAATTTATCTAAAATACATATATATTAGTCTAACATCTAACTTTGATCGTAATTGGTGGTTCTCGTACTCAGTTAATTCTTTGATTAGGTAATTAATAAAATTTTTCCTTCTGATTGGCCAATCAAAAGGAAGCTTCAAGGCATTTGCATTTGTAGGACGCTAAGTGGACCGCACCTATCGATTAAAGCACGCTGAAACATTTAAATTGATAATACTAATTTGAGTGTGATGAAGAACCGAGAGGATGCGTACTATGTATCTCTAAAAAATAACTATATGTATAGTTAAATAATTTACTATAAGTGCTTGGATTGCTCAGAGTTAATTCAGCTGCATTAGCTACTAGCCGTTTATTTGAAATTTATTTAACTTTAAACGCTAGTAACTCTGCGAAAGAAACTGTAAGGACCGATTAACTTGAACTTAATTGACGCACGTTTATCTATCCTAATCCTCATAGCACTACATGCCGTCAATAAGGAGAAAGTTTACGAAAAACAACCCATGTTCGCTTGGTCGAGCGCTCTTCGACTTTGCTTTATTTTTTTTTTTGTATATACGCGTAATTGTAATCGTAAGCGCAACTAGCGCGTTGTTAAGCCACTTTTTTAACGTTTTGTTGTTCTGTTACGTTTTTGAATAAAATGCTTACAAAACTAAATACTCTCGTTGTTCTTATTAAGTGAAAGTCTGTTGTCGAGATGGTTTTTACTATCTCTGCATGTACGTCAGAAAGTACTGAGATAGAAAATTAAGATAACGAGCTAAATTATAAATATAATTACAGACTGTCGTTCCTACTGCTTGCGATAATGATAAACGACCCGAGTGAGTTCGAAATCTAGCAATATTTATTACGTATAACAGCATAAACAGTTTAAATGCGCATTTTAATTAGTTCTGATCTAATCGTTCAATATCTATTTATTGTCCCTTTTTGATAAGTACACGTTCGAATTATAAAAATTATGTTTTAATTTTTAATTATTGCATCCATGTTATTTTTATATTACTTTTTAAATTCTTTAATACATTAACTTATTATTTATTCTTTAAATTATAATCACATATTCATTAACCCGAGAGTCAAAATTATAGTCCTACTTTCAATCTCTTTCAATCTTAATTAAACCTCATAAACCTATTTTGATACTTAAACAATTAAATAGGACGTCTTTTAATATTACTTAATCTACAGCTTCTATTTAGAAAACTTCTTTTGAACCTGAAAATAGGAAATTTTCCGGTAAATGTCATTTACAGGTTTAACGTAGGAGTTCAATTCATATATTAGATTAGAATCTATATTATAAATCTCTAGAGTCTACATACGTTCTAATTATAAATCTTTAGAGTCTATATACGTCCTAAAACTAATTGGTTTAAAGTAGGAGTAAAATTTCGACTTTAATTATTTTTTAAAGTTATATCATACGATTTAAATTTCTTTAACTTGTGAGTAATGCGAAATAATTTTTCACTGTAAATAGTAGTTATTTTTTAATGAAGGTAATCCGTAGCAAATTTGCGTCAGTAATGGTAATAGTAGTCAAACAAGCATCGATTACAGTCCGTATGTATTCCTCAGGTTGCATAGAGCGCGAGAAGTGCTCATGACAGGCTTTCACTTCGATTTTCGATAAAAGCACAGGAATTCTGTGGAAAGTGGACGTTAGACAGATTGATTTGCCCGCAATGTACGGGATCACCGTGGTCGCATGCAACAAATCATCCATGACATCGACAGCATCATTGTATCTAACAAGATGAGTCTGTCAATTCCTGTTTTCAACAATAAAAAATAACCGAGAAAACGCCAAGAAGACACTCACAAATAAATATTCACGAGTTTGTGGAATAAAAGAATTCTTAAAAAAATATGAAAGTACTGCTGAAAGATTGTACTTCCTCGATATTTCAATATTACATTATTTACGGTATTTTAACGTTTGAAAACCGTTGCGTCGTATTTTATTCTTAATTATTGTCTTTATATAATAATATAACATTTTCCGAAGCCCCGGAAAATATATTTTTAATTTTTTAAAGAAAGTTTTTTTGGATTAATCTAGTTTAAAATTAATTAAAGAAAAAGTATTTTTTATTAAAAAAGTTTATACAAAACACATATAGTATTCAAGGTTAAGACAAAATAGAATTAAATTTATAAATTAAAAAATACGAGTTAATGAGAAGATAAAGTAATAATTATGAACGGAGTCGCAAGTATTAGATGTTATGCAACATTTCCGCGTAACAGTGACCGCAAATGATCAGTTCCCCAATCGAGCGATTTATAGCATTTGCGGTGGGGCTATTTCAAAGAATAGTGGGGTTGTTTCTTTTCGTAGGCGATATATAAAGTGACGACAAAAGAATGTGTCCCGAGAGTAGACTATCTATTCATTGACGATAGAGATACCTTAATTAAAAAATGAAAAAAATTGTACGTAAAGTACCATCTTGGTTATGTAATGAAATGTAATAAAATATATAGACACACAATCTCGTGTTTAACAATTATTATATCTTCAACTATTTGGACCTAAGTGAAACACGTTTTTTGCGACCTGTGCAACGATTAATTTCTTTTTAATTTAAAGCCTGGCAGTAACAAAGATAAATCATGTTTTTCATAAATTCGGTTTCATGTTTAAGATTGTGCTGTTGGGAGTTATCACATGCTCCTACAGTTCCGATTGGAACTTTGGAAATCATGATGACGGTGGTGGACTTACGCTGGGAGAAATTTCTTTAGACCATTATGGCTTGGGAGGAACAGGTTTGAACACAAATTTTTAATTGCCTATTAATTCCACGATTATCTCTGAAATGTATTTTCTAATGTATAAAAGTTGTATAAACGATAACAGCGTAGCCAGGGATCGATTTATTGTGATAATTATAATTATATGTCATGCAGCTTATCACGTAAGTGTCTTGTTGTATCAATTTGATAAATAAATGCTGACAAATTGTTTTGAATTTTAGAAAGTCATTCCTTAGATTTATTGGGAGGTCATTCACCAATAAAAATTAGTGATTGGCACTCGGCCACCAGCGGTCATCACGGAATCAATGTCATTCCCAAGGTTAAGCATATCGGTAATATGCTATAATAAGAAAATACATGGACTTTATTAATGTAAAATATTAAGCATAATAATAATAATGACTTATATTAAAATGCAAATATAAGCTTGAATATATTAAGGTTGAAAAGATCAAAATAAATGGGTATATAAACAGATCAAATTAATTAAATAATGTTTTGCTTTATGAGAGCTTTGCTGAGCCGAAGCTTTTCGCTGATTAAAATTTATTAAATGTATACACATTTTATTAATTTGATATCTGCTCGCTACTTTAACCTTTTTAATCTTATATTTGTATAATAATGATTATTGGAATATTACCATATTAGATAAAAGTATATTTGCACGTTTAAAATGTTCAGATATGATAAGCTGATAGATTAATTCTATTAAGACTAAAACTAAAGAGTAATTTTAATTGATTGGTAATAAATTTAAATTTATTAATATATATATATTATATAATAATAATTTTATAACATTATATCATATATTAAATATATATTATATAATTGTTTGTTTATTATTGTATAATGCTTTGTACTATTTATCATTACTTTGAAATTATTTGTTATTAATAAAGGTTTTTAAGTAACTTATTTCATTTTTATGTCGCATCATATTCGCGGTGAAATAGGGATACCGACGGTTCAGAAAATTCCGATCAATATACCGCATCCGGTGGTGGAAACGGTCCCGCAGCCTTATCCTGTTCCTCTGGTAGTTCCGAAGCCTGTACCATTCCAGGTAACTACGCGAAAATTACCTTTATTTTTGCAGTAAAATCTGCACTTCCTTTATCACTCCCTTTGCTGAAAGCAGCCTTTTGTTTTTTTTTTTTTTTTAGGTGGAAAAGCAGGTAATTAAAACTGTCGAGAAGAAGATACCGACGCCTGTCGAGAAAATAATTCCGGTGAAAATTGAAAAGCCGGTACCATTTCACGTGGTAAAACACGTGCCCATACCGGTCGAAAAGCCGATTCCGATCAAGATTCCGATCTACAAGACCATCGTGCATAAAGTCAAGCATTGAATCCTTGCTTGACGATCTCTCCTCGTTATTGATTCATTCTATGTATTTAATAGAAAATATATACACAATACGAGAAGACTAATATTTTGCAATACTGTAACACGGTGCAATTATTTATTAAAATATTTGCATTAATAGATTAAAAATTTTGTTTTATTTTATTACCTCAGAACTGTAGTTATTATTTATTGTAAGATTTTATTAGAAAATATTTTATATATGCAAATTTTTGTATAATAATATTATATTATGGACATTTTTTCTCACAATAATTGAAAAAGACAAGATTTAAATTTGATAATTACATTTAACAAACAAAAACATTCATATAAAAGGTACTTAGTTATTCAATGTGCTCTATTATAGTGCTTGTCGAATATTAAATCTGCTAAAGGCAACATAAATTATACCTTTTTTCAATAAATGTAGTTGTTTTATGAAGGGTTAAATTGACGAGCAGAAAACTGCGGGATATCATTTAAATAATAACACCATGGTGATTCGAGACCCGCTATTCGAAATCTCGTGATAAATTCAAACAAGATATTAGCGGCGTGACACTCCGAGAACATCGTGCTTCTTATTTTCACGACCGTATATAGCCATTTGTGAATTTTCCAAGTATTATGAGAAAGGTGCTTACACCTAAGTATAAAATCATGTTATAAAAACATATTAATTTGCCAAATAGTTTGTTGCATGCTAACGAACACAGTTGCGATTAGTTAATTTATAATAAGCGACACAAAAAGTTCACCGTTCGAATAATTCTCGCTAAACGTTAAGTCTACATGATCACTAAACGCGCATGATCCGGAAAAGTTGCGTGATTGATTCCATCTATGTGAAAATGAAATGGTGCGAGAACGGAAATTCGCGATTTATTTCTTTTTCCACAACTGCCTATATATCTTGTCGAAGACGTTTTTCATTCAAGCGATTCTGAAGTAACTTATATGATCGTAAACCACATAAAAGAGTATGCTCATAAAAATAATCTGTCTAGTCTGAAATATGAAGTCCAAGTAAAGTAGTTAATGTAAAGTAATTTAGTCAAGTTAGTTAAGAATTGATTGGATTTTAATGTCTCGCAGATACTCATAATGTTCACTACATGCAAAGACTTAATAAAATCGTCAAAAAAAATATCATTTTGCATGTTATATTACATTTCATATTTTTCTTTATATTTCTCCTCGCACTTTCTGTTTCTCCTTGCATTTTCTCAATAATTTTATTTAAATTTATACGATAAATATTTTCATGCAATTTTGTTTTTGCAAAAGCGAGGCGGAAATAACAGAGCACCTCGAGTGGGCAAAACCAACATGGCGAAAGTGAAGTGCAAATTCCATCTTTCATTCCTTTAAGGTAGCTGAAAGTGAAAAGACTCCGGCATGCGGTATATATTATAGAAAATATTTTAATTACAAAACACCCCAACACAAAGCAGAGATAGACGGCAAACATAAAGTCGAAGTGAATTTAAAATTTTAAAAATTATGTAACAACAAATGCCTTCTTCCTGTACATGCCAAAGGATACAAAACAACGATGGAGAACGCACAACAGTGATTTAAAGTAGCAGCGAAAGGGAAGTCTTGTAGATTTAGTCTTTCTCCGACCATGGTAGTGGTCTTGATCGTTGTAAAAGGAGGAAGAGCGATCTCTCGCGACACGTAACAAAAAACGTCATACCGAGGCGCTTTGACGCTGGGTAATACTTGAAATGATTGCGGTCGCGTAAACCTTACCATTCCACACATTTCCGTACCATCATCTCTGATTAAGTCGTAATATCCGTTAAACCATCTTAATGTTCGTATCTCAATGATATGAGAATTCCAAGAAGCAAAAGAAGCTACATGAGCAGAAAGGAGCAGATTCTAGATTACTTCATTCCACTTGAACTTTTGTGACCTTATAATAGATACAATGTAATACAACTTCGTACGTGTATTATTTTTAAAGTAAACTATAAGCAGCTTGTAACATTATAATTGTACACGATTGCTCTATGATGCGGGAAGAAATCGGTTCCCTTCAATTATGGGAAAGCCAATCGATTGGGTACATTTGTAGATACACGCATTATGTCCGTATGAGTAGGTAACCTGAGGCTAGTATGAATCAGGAAGGAGCGTTTTAATATACAATCACCAACGGGCGGTTCCTCTTTTTGCGGCACAGCACGATCGTGGTGATTGTCGGCGGAGCAAATCGACTTTGAACTTTACTTTCGCTGTAAGTCTTTTTTCCTTCCCGTTGCGAACTTCCTTTGCTAGCTTCCTTTTTCCACGTTTCCGGCGGATTCCTTGATTATGCTCGTTATTTAAATGTGTTGAAGAAGAATTATGAATCCGTGGTAATGCTCTCTTTCCCTTTTTCCCTCTCCCTTACCTTCTCTCTCTCTCTCTCTCTCTCTCTCTCTCTCTTCCTTCCTCTAACATTATGAGAAATCTTCTGGTGCATTACCTCTCTATTCAAAAGGAGTTTTTAATTTGTTCAATTAAATTTTTCTATCGTATCCTTATCTCAATTTTTTAAAATTAAATGTTTATTAAACAATCTTTTTTCACAGAGTTATATATTTTATATATATGTATATATTTCTATTATTTCTCACCTTATTCTGAGTCGTAAATTTTGAACTAATAGATTAATATTACATTAATATTTATTACGTATAGTAATAGATACAAAAAGACTTCAGGTTACATTATTTGATACAATAAAAAAAGATATACATGAAGATTAATTGACTTCAACGACGTAATTTCTGTCATGTTTACGAAGCACGACCGAATTCATACTTTCTCCAATGTCAGAGGTTGTAGGTCAGTCGTTTGTTGTGACATTAGTACATACCGATGATTAATTGAGATCGAATTAGAGCGCGGACCTAAACTCCTGTGAGTGACATATCGTGAGTTTCAGCGACCGTAAGTTCGTCCAATTTTCCATGAGAGCGAATTAGCGATATCATTCTATCGTGGACATTAATTGAGATGGTCTTCGTTTCAAAGTCACGAAGTTTCTCTACGCATTAAGAACACATTTCCTTTCGTATATGATGAACCTGCCACGTGAATAATTAACCGGAAAGTAGAATTTCATGACTGTGTAAAAACTAAAACATTACAATATTGCTCATGATTCGTTAATAAATGTTTTTGATAGTTGTTTTAATCATTATTTTTCCATTAATCGTTTCTTTTTGCAAGATATTGCACACCTTGATGTATTTAATAAGTAAGGATAAAAATATATGGTAAATCATTGCAAAACGTTGATAAATAATTATATACTATTGATAAATAATTGCATAATAGTATAGATAGTAATGAAAATGTATTCTTAGTTATCAGTAATATTAAATTGCTTGTCAATTTATAATTTATAATGTATTTATACTCCAGTTTTAGTCTAGACTGTGTTTCAAGTCCAACAAATAAACGGTACGCAATTTGCTTGAACCGGAAATTATAAAATATTACATAAAAAACATTATTAAACTCTAAGCATTGACTGAAGGTTTATTTGTGTTGAACATTTTTCGGTCTATTTCACTTAATATTGTTTCAATATGTTTTTTAAACAATGTTATTTAAATATATTTTTAAATGTAAAAATATTTTTTTAATTTGTCCCCTCTTCCTCACTGGCATTAATGTTTATATTTGTTTTAGGGGATTGAAGATAAGATTTTAAAAATAAGATAAGATATGCATTTACTTGCATAAGGTTGTAAATTTATTCAATCCGAATTTTTCGAAAACTGTTTTTGCTATTAATATTGCAGATGCAACAAACTCCTTATTGTATATCATAATTTTTTATTTTGTCGGATATCAGTTATTGACTATCGAATATCTTCGAGTATTAATCCATTTTTAAAGATTATTTCACATCGCCTTTCACAGTCGAATGTTGAATGTCTTTCGATCGGTGTTCCGGCCGGAACCCTTTCACGGGGCGTTGTGTTTCGTACTTTCATTCTGATGTATCAAAAAATGTATCGTCTGGAAACGTCTCTTCTAGCAGGAGTATGCTTTGCGTTCACTTCCTAGTTGAATCTAAGAACAACATACAGAGGGAACTACCTTGCTGCATGACTCCCGGAAGGTTTGCATTTATGTAAGTGAATGGAAATCAAATTCATTTATCCATTGGGCACTCCTTTCTTGTATTTATCAAGCCAAATCATCGCGGTAAAAAATATTTCTGGTTAGTCATTCTAGTCATTTGTCTCAAGAAAATTAGTAATTATATAGAGTAACAACCGAAACGTTTCGTTGTTTGGTCATAAATTTAGACCCATTCATAGCCAACTTAGTCATTTAACATAATTTAATACACCCCACAGGGATGTCGGAAAGTCTCGGAGATTGTACATGCATGGTACCTTCACTTCCGCTAAATGTATAATAACAATAACATGCTCATTTACATTTGCTTAAAGATAATTGTCCTCCCACGGAATATCTTAACGTTTACACATCTGTCTGCTGTCTGCTGTATTCTCTTGAACTATTGACTTAAACCCATGGTAATTATGTAATGCTTACTTTAATTTAATTGAATGATTACATCCCAAATAATAGCTTATTCTATACATTATCGAACAATGAAATTAGAATATTGTGATTATTTCTTAAATACATTACGTTATATAAAACAAACATTAATATTGCAGGACACTTAAAACTTATAATTAAACTGTGATAAAAAATACCGATTTACGTTAGAATTTTTTTAAAAAGATGCACAAAAAAGAAAAAATAGATTAAAAATTTTTAACAGTTTATTTCTATAATTTTGTATCAACACACACGCACAATGTATCTTAATCTAAAGGTTAATGTTAAATTTTCGATAGCCTTTACAGAAATTTAATACTGGCCAATTTAATATTCATCAATTTAATATTGAAAGACGGTAATTATTTATTTTAAGTATTGTATTAAAATCATTGCTATTTAGTGCTTTTAGGACTCCAAATAAACAATGCAATTTAAATGAGAATTTAAGATAAAATTAAATTTCACCTTAAATTCTGGTTTAAATTGTAAATTATCTTCAATGAGTTAATATCTTATCCTTATCATAAGAAAATTAATACAAATGAAAATAATTCATAATTAATTGGCTGTAAGCTCGTTTTTTAATTTCTATAAAAAGTAGTTTTTGTAAAGTGGCGCAACCAAGTCATGAATTGCTTATCATCTATATACACTTTCTCTATTCTCAACGTTTTGTAATACACATGCATAATCATAGAGTAATTTATGTGCAAGACGCATGTTGCATCGCAATGGACCGATACATCTCCAAAGAAAGAAGACGGTTTCTCACGCGAGTACGCATGACAATCTTTTTATAGTTATCTTATCAATAGGATAAAGTCCTTTCGATAAATATTCTTGCACGATGCGAAATGCAACGTGATATATCCTGGGCCATTGGAACTCTATCAGGATTTTAGTGAAAGGTGGTGGAATCGAAGTCGTATATAAAGTCGGTCTTTGGAGGACATAGTCATTCAATGCTTGATTTCTCGTGTTCGCATTACTAGCCCCATAAAAGCAATCAACATGAATATAATTGTAAGATTCATTCACTTGCATATCGTGCAATAATTGTGTGTTTAATGTGTTAAACAGTGCTAATTGATACAATAAAAGAAGTGGCAGTTTATTATAAGAATAGAGAACTCTGCTTATATATTGTGCAAAAATATTATGCTTATTATAGCAATAGTATACATAGTATGATTACAATTATTCTTAAAAATAAAATAGTTACTAAAATAACACAATTTGTAACACTTTCCAAATTTTTATTGAAAGTCTTATAATAGTAATAATTAGTGTCTTGTGTGTTTAAATTATAACATCATTGTGTTAATATTAAAAATTAACAAATATTATAAAGCAAAATATAAATTATATAAAATTGCAGATTTTCTTGTATCTCGCTTTGTTTGGCAACATGATATTGGCTAGCCATTTAGAGGAGGATCATGGTGGTTCAACATATGAAGAGAAAACAAAAACTGTGGAAATTCCAATTATTAAGAAATTTGGTAAGTTTATTTTTCAATAATATTAATTTAAATGTTTTAATTTTATCGGATCATCACAATGCAATTGATTATTCTTAAGGCAAAGAATAGATGTTGTTAAAAAATTTGTGAAGAAAGTATGCATAATATTGTAAATGCAAATGCATAATTGCTCTTTATTTCAGCTATACCTATTCCGCATCCTGTACCTGTTGAAGTGCCTAAAGAAATTAAAATACCAGTGCCTCAACCATATAAAGTACCAATCGAAATCCCTCACCCATACCCAGTGGAAGTCATTAAACACGTCGAGATACCCATTGAAAAACCAGAGCCATATGTTGTCGAAAAACATGTAAGTATAATTCTCGATTTCTGATATTTTTAAGCTATATTTCATTTATTTCCCAACTTATAATCAGTACGAAATTGGAGTAAACGAGATATTAAAATAATTTTAATCTAATAAACATTTCCTATTCCCACCTTCTCTCTCTCTCTCTCTCTCTCTCTCTCTATTTTAATATATTTATTTTATTCTTCACAATTATTAAAAAGTCCCAAATTGATTGTATCATGAAGCACGTATATTATATTCACTGTATTTTTTCACAGGTTCCTTATGTTGTGGAAAAGCCATATCCCGTTTACGTGGAGAAGAAATTCCCTGTGCCAGTGGCGAAACCATATCCTGTTCATATCCCGATCTACAAACACGTGGTCCATTATACGTCTTCCAAGGGTAAAGGATGGAAATAGAATTCACGGATATTACGTATAATCTTATTATCGTGTTCCATCAAGAAATCCATTGTACGGAAAAATCCTCTCGATTTCAGCCAGTTCAACGATTGTATTAATGCAAATTTTTTGTGATATCTTGAGAACTTTTTTATTTGAATTTGTTAACAATAACTGTATGTAGATCTTCTCTCGATATTTATATTTATTTCTGACTAAAATCAGAAAGAAATGTTAAATTCTATAACATATATTTGTATTTTTTCTATATGTTATGTTATAGAATTTATCGTTGTCAGGATTTTTTAACCTGGCAATTCTTTCTATAAAATGTTACATGTTTTTTTACATGATTTGTTACTTATTACATATTGTTAAGTTTTTATTAATATAAAATACGTATTAATTTTTTAATATTTGTTAATAAATGTTGTCAATCTGAAGTGTTTTATTACTTGTTAATTTAAACATTAACTTTCGACTAAACATTAAACAACATGATTTAAATCTGTTTCACGCACAATAATTATATGTTTTCCGTACTGTATTAAAAAAAAGGAACAAAGTAAAAAGTATTTCATTCCAAGCATGAAACTTGAATTTGATTTTTAAAGTCTAATTTATTTTTAAATCAGTTACTATTTATTTTTAATTACATTATTGCTTTATTATTTATGATTTCAATAATAAATTAATTATAATTGCTATTTAATATTGAATACTTAATAAAAATAGTTGCTTTATTCGCGGTGATACAATAAATTTCCGTGTAAAATAAGTGTAATCTACAAAATGTAATTTGTAAAAATATGTAATCTACTGTTTCGTTTCCTCACCGAATGCTTGATTAGGATCGCCTAGAAAGAATCTGGCTGCGGCAACCGTGAGGGAGGCTCGCGCGCGGTCTCGATTCACCGTAATGAGCGTGGCGCGCGTTCTTACATCGACGTGCGAAACCACTTTTACTTGAGATGCACTTTCACTGTTCCGCTCGGCGATAGCATCGCACACGATTCAAATCTTAATCCCCTCTCACTGTCGCGCGACCACACCCTCGGCGTTGATGCCTTTCATAAATCGTTACCTCTGCATCAATTATCTGCGTCGAATTGATGCGGCCATGATGCTTGTAGCCGTTTTATCACTCGCGATATTATATATTCTTACAGTGAGAAAAAAATATAGTTAATTTTAATAAATATTTAGTTCAATACTGCCAACTAAATATTTACTTACAGTAAATAAATATTTGCTTAGTAAAAAAAATAATTGTTAAATCAAATTAACATTTCTTGTATCAAATAAATATATCTTTATATTTAATAAATATTTAGTTGGCATATATTCAATTAAATATTTATTAAAATTGACTATATTTTTTTTCAGTGTACTGTCACAAAAATACTAAATGTTTTTTTCTTGTTTAAAAAATTACTTTGTTAATTAGAGTAACATACTTTGTAACGTTAAAATGCTTTGAAAAAATTAATTACATGATAAGAATAGTTTTGCTGAAGTATCTAAAAATTTAGTTAGATACAAATTTAAAGATAATTTTGTTGAACTATGAAAACAATATATGTAAGATGCTCGAACTAGTTGTTAGAATGTCAACTTTTTGCAGCATTGCTTATCATGCTCGAGTTTCTTACATAATTATTTTGATGGTCCAACAAAATTATTTTTAGATTTGCATCTATTTAAATTTTTATAATAGATATTTCAGCAAACTCTTTAAATTTTTAGTTACTTTATCAAATTTATCTTATATATTAATGACAGATGTTATTAAAAATAAACATAATTTAATCTTTCAGTTTTTAGTTTTCTAATTAGCTCTCAAATATACATTGTTGTATATGGACTAATTTTACTAGATCAAAACTGCATAATTAAAATTGAGTTTTAAATTTTTAAAGAAGAAAATTAGGTGTGCCAGTGTGTAAATAATCTATTCAGTGAAATAATAGGATGTGCTCCCACAGCATTCTGTTGGTTGCATGAACATCTGCATTTTGGTGAATTGCAATCATGCAATCATGTTTATTCACAGATTGTTGAACAAGCATATTAAACCATGACATTACCACATTACCACATTTACGTTGATCTTCGTCTCACGAGTTGATACACGCAATTGCGAACATGAAAGGATAGCGCAACTGAAAAACAATTGCATGTAACTGCACCGGAGAGACTCTCTCCTTAAGTCTGATTGTGAGAATTACTTTATCATCTGATTTATCTGGAAGAATAACTTGTTAAAAGCAACGGAAGCGACAGTAAAAATGATAAAGTGTGCAGATTGTCATTATCACAATGCATTTATATCTGCCCCCTTTTATTTTCTCAGCAGTGAAAATAGCATTGAAGCACTGAAAATAACAAAGACCCCTGATGTTTGCTAAAGTCATTAGCCCTGACTAGTTTATGATGATTCCCGATTCTAGAAGCTACAATATAACAGTCAGTAAACAGATGAAAAGTTTTATACGCAATGATCGTATAACTTTTTGTCAATGTCAATAATGATCACTCTCTCTTTATTACATCTTTAAGTTTCGTTAGCATTAGTCTTTTCATTCGAAGAAAATAGTCTTTTCTTCAATTTTACTGTAAAGTTTTAAATAATATTATGTAAAGATTTTATTAATAAAATAGTGAATTTAATAATAAAGAATATTAAAACTAGTACAGTTTTATAATATTTTTTACATATATATGTGCAAATTAAAATTATATCACGTAATTAGTGTAACGTACTTAGTGTAAATGATGCGACAAATTACTAACATTATTACAAGTTATCTAATTTGTTAATGATTCAAATGGATAATCTTTATCTTATCTCGAAATTCTGCATAATAAAAAGTTATATTACATACAATACTTATTTACAGAAAATAAAAAAAAAACAAAAGTTATACTTAAATATTATTTCTAAATCAATAGATATATTTTATCAAAAATTATATAATACTATTGATTGACAAAAAGATCAATTTCAATTTTACTGAAAAAGATTTGCTACAAATGTGTTCGTTATACCATCTTACTTTATATATTAAAACCAACAATATATATAATGACTTTAATTGACGATAGCTATTAAAGACTCCCGTTCATCAAATCGTTTCGTTATGATATTCAGATTAGAGACAAGCCATTATTAATTAAGGTGTTAATTAATAATGGTGAGAAAGTATTACTTTGTGATATTCTTTACATTCTACCAATGTTGTAACACGTGCATATGCGTGTATAATGGTCTTAAGTACAAAAAGATAATTAATATGCGAACAGATAGCTTATTATCTACCCAGAAATCCTATCGCAAAATTACCTATAATGTAAAGTTTTAGTAATTTACTTCATGCATTTCAACTTTGGTGAACGTGAAGAAGTTGGCCGGGATTACACTCTCGGTATTTATCTTTATATTCGTGCAGCTGGCATTTGCACGTGCAAGAGTGCACTTGAATATAGCGAATTGTTACAATCAACGTAATGAAGAGAAGGGAGAAAGTAGTGCTGGTATATAAAGAGTTGGCCATGACTTTGAAAGCATCGTAGAATCTATTGCGCGTTTCCACGGACAAGTCTCGCAGAATCAATTGTCTCGACGGTGTCTTCGGCGCGTGATTTCGCAAATCATGAGACTTTTTGTGAGTACTTTCGTCATCACATTGAATATTGTACTGTGCATTTAGTATTACGTGTTCTTACATTATATTTCTAGAGGAGGATTATTTGTTATACATATAATTAAATTATTTATACTTGCAATTATTAACAGACGATATTAGTTTAGAATATAATTACTAACAAATGTTTAATTATTAATTTATATTAAAATTATGTTTTAAATAAATTTTTTTATTAATTAAAAAAAGCTAATTTCTTTTATCCAAATACGTTCTTGTGGATAAATTTTTTGTATATTATACTATTATTTCTTGAAAATGATAGTTAAATATTTAATTTTAATTTATTTTTTTCGTAAATGTTAAGTAATCATTAATTTATTGTATAAAGGGAAAGCAGAAAAACAAATCTTACTTTTCTCACGAAGAGTAATTCAGTCGATAAACGAGACAAGGTTGCAATTAGTTATTTCTTACGAAATTACTACATTCTGCGTGACACCATTCCGAATATGGTTTGGTAAGGCGATTAGAAAAACGAGTGATCTGCGCGTTCAACTAGATACAATTATCTCGTGAAACTGTTTAGAAGAAGAGTTTACTATCGTGGGTATCGCGACTAGAAAGCGGTTACAAACAACGATGTTGATGACATTCTACTTCGGAACTCGGTGATTTTAATGACTCACTTACACTTGTAGGTACTTGCCACGATGGTGGCCGCAGTGTGGGCTTCTTACCACGATGAGGATCACGGTAGCACTACATATCACGAAACTTCTAAGCCAGTGGAGATTCCTATCTACAAGAAATACGCGATCCCAATTCCGCACCCGGTTGCCGTTCCAGTCCCTCAGCAAATTAAAATTCCGATACCTCAACCCTATCAGGTCGAAGTCGCAGTTCCGCATCCAGTACCTGTGGAAGTTATTAAACACATTGAGATACCTATAGAGAAACCGGAACCATATGTCGTCGAGAAGAAGGTTTGTATTGTAAATAAATATTTTTAAAAGGTTATATAAAACTGTAATAAATCGTCTGTAAAGGAAAACGTTAGATACACACCTAGTATAACATAATTTTTACTTTGTGATATTATAAGTATATTATTATTTTCTTACACAGATAATAAGAAACAAGATTATATAGAAAATATTATATTATTTAAATATTATAAAAATGTTATACTGTTTATATTATTTAAATTAATTGTGTTTTTGAAATTTAAAATATTGATGATCTATATAAAGTATCGTGATATTAAAAGAGATAAAAAAAAATAATTATAAAATATTTTATATATGTTCCTAAAATAAAATAAAATATCCTTTATTATAAACTTTGTGAATATCTATAAACGTATTGCGTTGCAGGTACCATATGTCGTCGAGAAGCCGTACCCAGTGACAGTGGAGAAGCACTTTCCAGTGCCAATACCTAAACCGTATCCAGTTCACGTGCCAGTGTACAAGCACGTTTTTCATCATAAAAGTTCAGGACATGGTTCAGGACACTGGAAGAAGCATTGATTCATTTTGGGCGATTCTCTTCAGTATCTTTATGCCAAAAATAGCGACAAGCGTTACACGAGCAATATTAAGTCATAAGCGTTGTGATGTATGTACATAGTTTATTGTTATAAATGTAACATTTATATTTGTTAAATAAACTGTTGAACAAACTGATAAATAAATTGTTTCTTCTCTCTCTTATACAAACACTAGTTATTATTACTTAAATAAATTTAGAATCATAGAAAAATTAACATGGATATTTAATTTGTATAATTACACAGAAAAAAATTGATGATTTTGCTAAAGTATTATAAAATTTAATTAGATAGAAAATAATCTGAAAATAATTTAATAGACAGATCTGAAAATAATTTTGTTGGATCATCAAAATAATTATGTAGGAATCTCGAGCATAAGTAATGCTACAAAAAATTTTTACAATCTATACAATCAGTTGAGTATCCTATACAATTATTTTTATGAATAAACAAAATTATTTTTTAGATCTGTATTTAACTAAATTTGTTTTATCCGTTTTTTTATATCTTTGATAATCATGTTTGAATTAAATAACGTAATAAACAAAGTAATTTCTTAAAAATGTAGATAACGATATTATATATAGCATAAGTATATATAAGATGATAAAAATGTGTGTGTGCATATTACATAAATTATTCGTATAATTAAATATCTGGTATATAAATTAATATATTGAATGATAAATATAATATATAAATATATAATATAATATGCATGTGCATACATAGTTACACTAGTATTTTTTTGATAAATCTTCTTTGTACACTAATTTTCTGAAAAATTTAAAGTCTCTGAGATTTCAACGCTCCCGGCGACATAGGGTTGCATGCAATAAATACTTCAGGTGCGCCTGATTTTTTGTCCAAACGTGAAATGCATCCGTAATTATTATAAATTATATACGTCACTATTTTCCTACAGGCGGCACTTCAGGCGATATTTCACGATACAGTGTTCGGCTTGTACGGCAGATTGGCGTATCCACCGCGTGGATAAACGACGACGAATAATGCCAACGACGCAATGTGTCGCCATGCCCGAGGTGGTCACTCACTCACGTCGTCACAGAATTTATTCAGGAAATACCAAGACGCGTACGATTGCATCATAGATCTAGCGACAGCTTTTTACGCCGCTTAAGGGAATCACATTCGACTTCAGCGAGAAACTTGCCCTCTTTAAGTGGAGCAAAAGTTTATAAAACCGAGGACTACGAGTGACGCGCTTCTAGTTTGGTCCAGAACTCCCGATCTATTGGTCGTCGTGCAATTCAACGGAAACAGAAGCAAAATCATGTTCAGACTATTGGTAAGCACACCAATGTAATACTCCGTGATTTAACCCTTTGATGCCACCTAAGTATGGCGTTCCAGAAGTTTTTTTTACTTAACCATAACTTTTTTATTAATAAAGATATTTACTTTTGCTTGCTTCTATATTATCTTTCTTAATGTCTGTTTCGATTAAAAAAAATTGTTATAATACGTTCATTTTTATATACAATTTTTATATTTTTATACAATACCCATATGATACCTGATAAAACGATTCCGAATAGAATGGCAAATAGAGAATTCAACTTTTCATTTTATAATTTCCAGATTGATAATAAATTATAAAAATAGATTCCCAGAGAATTAATTTCGATTAAGAGAGGTCCCTCAGAAAGTTTAACTCAATTTCTGAATGGCACTTAATATATTAATTATCAAGCGAAACATTTATAGTTAGCGAATATGCAACATAATACTCGCAAACGCGTATTATTTTTTACAAAATTTAAAAAGAATGGTTTTTAAATAGACTTCAAATATATTAAATATTTTACACATTCTATACTTGGTTTTATATATATATATATACGGATCTTTTAGCAAGTTCTTTATTACGTCATAACAATTTGGCCCTATATAATCTAATTCCTAGATACCATGCCTGTTGTGGCTGTCAATGGTGCGCTCGGAGACCGGGATGCACATGGACATGCCGGTCGAGTCGCTGGACAAAACATCGGACGCTTCAATGCTGAAGGCAAAGAGAGATTCCATCCACCAACCTTGCGAACCCATTCACCAACCGCTCTATCCGCATGTTCCCGCTTACTCACCACCAGTCTACATTAAGCCCGTGGTCCAACCGGCCTACTTGAAGAAAGAGCTGGGTATAGCACCCTTAGCTCACCTGCAATACATCCAACAGTCTCACGCCTATCCCTCTGTGGTACAGAAGCCGACCATCACGTACGTGAAACCGGCGACTCCCGTGGTAAATTACCATGCGCAGCATCAATACATCAAACCCGTAATGCCCATCTACCAGAGCCCCATCGCGCCGTCCTACGCGCCGATTTACCAGAAACCGCTGAATTACGCACCCACGTATCAGAGCCCTATATACCAAGATGTGATGCCGAAGATCGTCTTTAAGAAGTACGAGGCACCCGCTGCCCAGATACTGTACCAGAAACCGCTGGTCCATGCGCCCGCCATTCAGTACGCGCCGCCGAAAGTGGTGCACGTGCAGGAACCGCAGGTGTCCTACGTGAAACCTGTGGTTCATGCACCATCATCTGTGTACGTCCCGCAGCCGGATCACGATTCCATTATAGTTAAACCTCATTGTGCGTAGAACACTTGATCGAACGATCGATACTGATATCTCAAGCTGCGCAAAATGAGAACATTTCTAAATGCGCTTAAGATTAAATGATCGACTGATGATTTCATGTCGGCTCACATTGACCAGCGTTTTCTAAATTGAAAATATGAAACTTGTAAAATGCAATGGAAAATTGTAAATTGTAAAATTATATGTAAGATGTTATATCAGAACAATGCAACGTGTTCATAGGATAAGGATCAAGAAATGTTACGAGTTGTCAAAATGAAAGGAAGCGAATTGTCAAAACTGACACAAATTTAATCTGGAGAATATAATAAAATTATTTTTCTTTATCATTTCTTCGTGTTAATTTTTTCTTAAATTTTGAAATTATGCAATACATTTTCTTGACGCTTCAATCTGATGGAGATCTTCAGTCTGTAATACACCGAAAAAAAGTATTCTAAATGCATCTTTGATAAATTTTTTGTTTGGAAATTCCCAACTAAATACTTATTAAAAAAAAAAAAAAATGTAAAGATACATTTTTTTGGTACAAAAACTATTAATTTAATTTAATAATCATTTTTTCTTAAGTAACTATTTATTTACTATAAGTGAATGTTTAGTTAGCCCATTCTAATAAATATTTATTAAAATTCAGTACATTTCTTCTCAGTATAAAAACAAAATTTACACGAACGTAAATCATAATTGAAAGTATGAAAATAATTGTGCGTTTAATAAATATTAGTTAATAATATAAAATCGTATAATTTATATTATAAAACGTATCTAGAGTTTATATTATTTAAACTCTCAATTTACGTAAGTAATTACCTTGCTTCTTAATCAAGGAATTCTAATTAAGCTTTAATAAAACGATGTCTATCCTGTTTTAAAACAAAAATCTTTAGTCTCTGAATATCTTAATACTCTCTTGATAAAATTCACATAAAGATTATAAACACTGAACGACCTTAATGCCAAAACTTTCCAGACGTAAAACATCGCTACTCTTTCAAACTTTCATCTACAGAGAAGCAATTTTGCATAGAAATTTCATAAGCGTACAATTAACGTTACGAAGTTGCGGACATCTTCCGCTTATCCAGATTGCGTCGAAATCATAATTCTTTAAGCTATGAAAAAAATCCCGCTATTATTAAGCTCCTTTAATTGTTCTCAGGAATTGAATCGCATCATTAAACATTACACATCATAATTACAGAGCTTAAATCACAATTATAAATTACAAATATATAATTATGCATAATTTTAATTTCATTTAACAATTCATTTAATTATTAATGTGTAATTCAAAGATCGTGGTAAAAAAATTTATCATGAAAATTCTACACGAAAAGGACGATTTTACTGAAAAGTATCTAAAAATTCAGTTAACTATAGAAAAAAAATAATTTTCTTGGATTATCAAAATAATTATGTAGGACGCTCAAACAGATTATTAGAATGTTAAAACTTTTTGTAGCATTGTTCATTATACTTGAGTTTCTTACATAATTATTTTGACCGTTTAAAATTATTTTGAGATTTAGCTAAATTTTTAAATATTTCGTTCTTTCCGTATTTGGAAGAAGAAATGAGGTTGCTTGTGAGAGTTTTTATCGCAAATCACCGAACTTTTCTTCCCGTTTTGTCGCGTCAGAAACTGATTGCATAAAATCAATACTTACTGGAGTTGGAATTAATAGCGTCGCGCTGGTGAGCTTTCTACTTATTCCCGAGATTTCGAAGAATCGCACGATTTCGTCACTCACTTACGCGCAACACCGCTCGGACGGGGTTGCATAACTCGGCAATGAAACGGTGAACTATCTCGGCGTTTTGAAATGGCCTACACATGCACGTTCGCGGGTGTAACCGGCCGGCTTTCCCATACTTATGTACAAACGTGCTATGTATGGATTCGCGTCCACGCGAATCCACGCCATGAAGAACGAATTGTAAACATCCGTCCATGATGTGTAATATTCACATAAAACTTACGCAATATTACGCGGCCACCGTTGTATAAAATAGACATCCATGAGAAGATGCTTTCAGTATAATAGAGTCTACCGAGCTGTCCGAGAAGTGAATTCATTATGAGTTACTATGTAAGTGAACGCTGAAGAAATTATTAAGAAAACAGTGGAAACTATATAAGAGTGACGTAAAGGAAGGACTTAATTTTATAATGTCTTTCATTCATCGTGCAATTGTGACGTGCATAAAAGAATTGTATATAATTTCATATATCGCGTAAGAATTGTCGCGACGAATAATTGGAAAAATCGAGTAATTAAATCCAAAAATGCTCTAATATTTTTTTGATATAAACTCTATGATGAATTATTATTTAAAATTGTGTTATAAATTAATATTTAATCTTAGCTCGACTCGAAAGATCGTACGAATTAAGAATCGTCGGTATACTTTAGCAAAATTAACATAAAAAATTAAACTAACTTTCGTACTTTTCGTCATAGTGTGTTTAAATTTACTGTATTCCAGTTGTTTCTCTCTCTATTAATTGCCGTTTGCAAGGCGGGCATAATACCAAACGAGGATTATTCGCACCATGCGGTTTATCACGGCTATGGCGCTACCAGTTATCAAAACGTGCGGCTTAATAATCACGATGCTATAGAGTTGCCCGCGAATTATGGAGACCCCGCAGAAATTCAGGAGGCTGATGTGGAGCACCATCACGAGAGAATCATCCCAATTGTGGAATCAGACAATGACGTAGATCACATCGTGTCTCATTCCGGTAAATAAAAACGTGAATTCCCATTAAATCGATCATGCTCGTAAAAAATTGATGTAATTTTTGCAAAATGGAAATGTCTGAAAAGGAAGATACTCTAAGCATAATACAAGTCATCATGACATCAAAATGATATCAAAGTAGTTCCAAAATGATTACTAAAAGACAGTTTTTAATCAGTTACGATTCACTTTAATATTATTTTGACGTTATCGTAACTTGTTGTTTTGTTTGAATATACTAATAATTTACATTAGAAACATCATGATAATTTGATATAATTTTAAAATATTGAATTTTTAGAGATTATTTATATTATTTTAAAATGATCAGTACATACTATAATTATGTTTTGTAGAGACAAATAGAAAAAAAAATATATATATATTAATTTGTTTCAGCTCCATATGAAGAATTTGCTGTTGATGACGTCAAGTCTGACATACTCGATCATGATCATTATCTCGATCATGACCATTATGAAACATCATTATGATCTTCATCTATAAAAATGATTTAGAAAATAGTGTTCGAATAATTAAAGTGCAATCTTTGTCTATGTGATCAATTTAAAATTAATTGAAAATTTCTGAGACTCAAATGTATTTAACAGACACGTTCGATTATTTGATAGTTAAACAAAAATAATTAATACGTGTTTTAGAAAATATTCTTTTTATAGCGCGCATAACTGTTTTCGCATCGCAGTTTTAATCGTAGTACAAATATGTTCTTGTGAAAATAATTCGCAACAGACGAAAATAATTGCGAACGTGATTTGCGTAATTTTTTTTATTTCGTCCTTTATATCCAATATAGATATATATATGTATAGGATGATATAATAATTTATGTAAATAACATTATGTTATAATGAAAACAACAACGTAGTAATCATTATACTAGGCTCTTGTTTGAAGTTTATTTACAATCCTATGCGACCATTCATGTGAGGGCCATGTAAGAGGCGCTTCCTTCGATCTATAAATTATAGTCCGCGACTGTAAATTGCGCGGTCTCGAGATTCTCAAACGCTCTATAATACTCTAGTCATTATCAGTAATCACGAGAATTATCGGCTAAGTCCGACCGTGAGAGCGTCTCTCAACTTAAGGTATGTATGGTCTAGGAATCATCACGGTAACAGAGAAAGTTCCTCCCAATATTAGGCATCGATTCACGAATACAGACAACAGTTTCACACACGCCCACACACATACATGTTTTCCACTCTGATAGACTTCGACAATAGCGTTAACAATCGAAAAATATTCACTTCGACGAATCGCGCGATGCATCACACGTTTCACATCAGCCACGACATGATATACGTTTTGTATAAGTATAATATATATTTAATACTTGACTAGATCACTTTAGTTGTATTGACTCCCTCGTTAGTCTAGGTACTTGGAGACTATGGAGACATAAAATGTCTGCTTATAAAAAAATACTTGGCTGAATGAATTAGAAACGTTAATGTAGTTGCTTATTTTCTTTCTTTCTCACAATATGCGACATTTGTAGATACGAGAACGATATCTAATGAAATTTGATCCCAATTTCAAGTATAATTAACGACAGTAGTAAATTGTTTGAAAACAGTTCTTCCCTTCGCAACGTATTTCTCGCTACGGAGAAAATTTGCAGAGAAACTTGGCTGGCACTCATCACACGTAGAATTCAGCCAGCATCTTAGCCGGTTCGTAGTCCATATCCTCATTCTTGTACATATCCATGATCTGGAAAAGTCGTTTATATGACAAAACCAATAATTTTGAAGGAAGCGAACTTGATATTTTAAATAAATGAATTTAAATAGAGTAAACTTATGTATAGATAAATTACATGTTTGAGTCAATTAATTTATTTTTTACAATAACTAAAAAACTTTAATTTTTTGTAATTAAAAAAATTATAATTTTATGAAAGAAACTTAAATTCATACATTAACAGACTCATGATAGATTACATTGAATAAAATTAGATATATTGACAAAATATATGTATTAAAAATTTTTTTTTAATAATTATTTATTAATAATTATTAATGTAAAAATATTATTAAAACATTTCATATTATTTAATTTTAATTATTTCTATTTGAACATAAATCTGTTCCAAACAACAGGTTTCAAACATTGAATAAAAGTTTGTGGTACCTTATACACACACATGTAAAAGATTTTTGTATTATTATTTCTGTATATTTTATAATAGATTTCACAATGTATACGATAAAAATTATTATAATCATTTATAGTAAAAAAAATTAATTGTTTTTTAATTAAAGTCTTCTTAAAAACTAAGTTGCAATTTTGAAAAAGGCTTTGTATATAATCAAATGATTTCGGTTAGTATGGCATTGGAAAATTTAATTCTCAAAGGTAAAAATTTAGTACTAAAAAATAATTTAATGAGTGAGAGTGATTATATTAACAAACAATCTTGGAAAAGTTATTCATTATTAAAATTTAAAAAATATTAGTGTATTAAGTATATATTTTCAATACATTTTCTAAAGGCTTTTACGCATAAATAAAAATAAAAATAAATAGAGAAGTATGTGTGTTGTACAAATAAAAAATTCATAACATAAAACCAATAATTTTAGATAATCCACATTTTTGATACTTCGAATCTGTTACGGTCCTACTTATTTCGAATTAAAGAAATTTTATTGCAATAAATTATCTATAACTTATTATCTATTTTGTTATACAATATAAAATATCACAAATAATATAAGATATACAATAAAAAATATTTTAAGAAGATAAATTTATTTAAAAAATAAAGAGTAGTATTAAATAAAATATTAAATAAAGTGTAATAATTAAAACAACATAAGGAAAAAATACAATAACAAAATTAATTTTAGCATTCAATAAATAGAATTTAGCTTAATTATGAAACAGAAATGTACAATAAATTAGATTTTTTAACAATCTTCTCTTTTATCAAATTCGCTGTATATATCACATCGATACTTATTTTATCAAAATAAATACACAAAAAACTTAAAATATTTTCAAAATTTTCTATTCTATCAATGGAATATTAAAATAAACGTTTAAGAGTTTAATATCAGATTGTATAAATTACTTACGATTACAAATCATATATTAAATATATAGATATATTGGTTTTGATTGGGCAAAGCTATACTATTGGAAAAACTTCTAGCCTAGCGAGAGTCTGTTGTCTTACCGCGTTTATATCCTTTTGCAACTCCTCCAATTGTTTTTCGTGGACAACCTTTAGTTTCTCTTTTTCCCTATTCTGTACTATCTGAGCGACTTTGCGCTCCTCCATAAACTTTTTCGTGTTGTTCTGCTGCAGCTCCCTGAGTCTGCCTTCCTTGATCCCGCGTGTCTTCAAGGTCTTGTCGTTCATCACTTCCCTCGCACTCTCCACCGACCGTCTCGCCTGTCGTGCTGTTATTTCTTTCATCTCGCGATCGTGACGCGCAGTCTGCTGTTTCTGTTGCGCCAGCTGCGCGGTCATGCACAATTTGCACAGCTGCGTCCGTCGCTCTTCCAAATGTCCACGGATCAGATCGCGTTCCTCCCGACGCTGCCTGTCGGCGAGACGCGACCACTGGGTCGTCTGTTCAGAAACTGCACGGCGAACAATGGGGTCCCTCGAAAGTTCCGCTTTGCTAAAATTTTCATCACTTTTGTGTCTCTCTCTCTTATTTTATTTTATTTTATTTTATAAGAATTTATTCTGCTATTATTTTAATCAACTATTTTCTTAATGTGTATATTTAACTTTCAATTTTACGAACTTTAAATTGTATCAGTTCTATGTATTAAAATAATTTTATTTTAACCGATTTATTAGAAATTTTCATTTTTTTGAAACAAATCATATTTTAATTTTTTATTTACTCCAAATTCAGTTTACTATTATTATCTTAAATTTTTTCTACACTATATTTTAAAATTGTAGAATTTTTTCTTCAAATTTTCAGTAATTCTGAAATATTTAATCTTAAATAATAAATAAAAACTTTCAAACAAAATTTTTTTGTTGAAGGAAACCTATAAAAATTTCTTATCTTTTATAATTCTGTATAGAAGAAGAACATATTTAATTAAGAGAAAGATATTTAATTTACTAATTAAGCAAATACTTTTATAAGACCAATATAATATATTATAGGACCATATATGTGATAACACAAACTAAAAATCAAAGCCTTAAACGGTCTAGCTGGATCTTAATATTTGTATGATTCTTATGTGAATTTATATACTACGTGTGTAGTCCTCAGAAACAAATTTTTTATGTTTATTCGCATCTTCGAAACGATCTTAATAATGTTGACATATTAAAATCTGTAAATAATTAAATTCTTATTGCGAAAAATGTTACCTCGGCCGGGAATCGAACCCGGATCTCTTGCATTCCGTGCGAGCGTCTTAAGCCTTTAGACTACAGAGGCCTCGGTAAATTTGTTAAATTGCTAATCAATTTAACTCGTGATATTACTGCGTTAGTTTAATTAGCGTTTCAAGACCGAAAAGTCATTTCGGCGCGCGTTTCTGGGGATTACACACGTAGTATATAAATTCACATAAGAATCATACAAGCATTCCAGCTAGACCGTTTAAGGCTCTGATTTCTATAACTTTTATAAGAGTTGTTATCAAATATATGAAGAAAATTTAAATTGCATAAAAATGACTAACTTTTTCCCCTTAAAAATCTTCTCTATTGCTACGCAATGTTGCTTCTGGACAGTGACTTTCTCCTTGTGATGTCTCTTCTTCAAAGACTCCAATTCTTTTTGCTGTTTTCGTAATACTTTTTGATAACCCTTTTCTTGTCTCAGAGTCTCGAGAGTGATTGGATCGAACTTCATTTCCTCTGTAGAAACAAAATAAGTATAGATTCATCAATCATAGTTGGCAATTCTGTATTTCATCCGTATCTTATACCTCTTGGTTTCGCTGCCTCTTGGTGATGAGATAGTACGTTGTTTTTGTTATCTATGTTATTTTTACTATCACTCTCTTCGATTCCCAAACCCCGCATTTTAGTTTGCGACATGCTTTCTGATTTTTTAAATGCTCGCGGCGCCGACAAGGCGTCCATAAATTCTAAAAAGATCATAAAAAATTTTAAGTCTAACATTACTCGATTAATATCATTAATATATATATACAATGTTTTATATAGAATTTATTTTTTTTATAATTGAGAGTTTTAAATAAAAGATGAACTCATTAATTAAATGACAATATTAAGCAGAAAAAATGAGATACTTATATGAAATAGTTCAATTTAACAGAATTAGCAGGAAATACATAATTTTGAACAAAATTATATAATATATTAAAATTATAATTATATAAATGCGAAAATAAATAGTAGCGGAGATTTATTATGCGACTAAAACATAGCCGATGTCGAACGTACCTTCAAAACCATCTGGCACATAGATTTTTATATCAATATTACAAAACAGCATAGGCAAAGACATAGGAAAGTTGGCCTCAGTTCGCAATGCAATGTGCCGATATCCAGCTTGCAAACCGTCCAAAGGAACGATTCTCTGTCCTAGCAGTTTGCCGTTCGATTCATCGTATACCGCGAATCTCAAAGCGGCCAAATCTGGTAGGACGACTTTCCTGAAGAGGAAGGGCTCTTCATTGTAAACGGGGTTCAAACCGTTGGCAGGAACCACTCTTGTGCGAAATTCCTTGCGTATCGTATCGGTTGGTAGGCCATACATTTCAACTTCAACGTACGTCCCGACTTTTTTGTCGGATAAAAACTGACCAGCTATTACCTATTAT